AACAGCAATGCCGCAGTGAACGTGATGAAGGATTTGATAATCAAGAAATATGTCAATCAGGCAATTAGCAACGATTGGATCATTACTTTCGCTTTGTTTCCGCGACCGGATCACGATACCATCAAGGCTCTTTCGCCGCTGCTGAACTTCCGGCATCAAATTCCTCATGTCCAATTTATCCTCAGCTACTCCACCATTATTCATACATATTGCAGAAATAATGCCGACTGCATCGATCTGATAGAGATCAACATGCTTCTGTCGCATCTCGAACAGAAAATATCGCAAGGCTGCGAGCCTCGTTTTCATACTCCTCTTTCAGTAAAAGAAGTAAGATATTTATGGTTTTTCCCCTCTGTTTTTATTAAAATAGAAAATAAAACATGAGATATAAATTTGAAAAAGAATGATTTTTGTTTTATACACGCTTAATAGATAATCAAAATAGAAGAGTACAGGAGTTAAATATAAATTTAATTGCAGACACTGGAAGCTTTGAAAGCGATCGGCAACATGGGACTCGAAACGAAGAGCTTACGAAAAGAATTGAAGAAATGTATAGATAATACTGGCGGATTTTTACCAATGGAAGTTCGCGTTGCTGCTGTTGATGCTCACCGCAGGCTGCCGTCTTGCGAAGAAACCCGGGACCAATTTTTCCTTAATTATTACCGTAATACAACATTAGACACGGAAGTCCGTATCGCCTCTTACTTACAGGTGATGCGTTGCCCCGATTACAATGTTATCAAGACTATCAAGCATACTCTCAAAATGGAAGAAGTTAATCAAGGTTTGTTGTATTTCGTCTATTATGCTATCGAACAGTTTAAATATTTATTATTTGCACATTTTTATTTCAATATTTTGTATTTTAGAGTAAAAAACAAATTTTTGAGTCTCTTGACAAATTTATTCTTAAGATCTATCTCCTTTTTAAACAATTTTGACTACTAAGTCTATCTAAAAAAAATTTAATTTAATTTCTTCTAGCTTTTAACGATAAAAAGTAACATTTTTTAATTCGTAATTTTGTCCTTATTTTTATATTTAGTCGGTTCTTTTGTATGGAGTCACTTGACGAATCTCTACAACTCCGCTTCGCCTACTAGAGTAGAGATCCAAAGTCTGCTGACGGATCAGGACATAGGCAACAAATTTAATAGTGACATAAGAAAATTCTCGCGTAATTACGAGAATTCCTTCTTCTCCGAAGAGTACAACGTCGGCGTGAATTATCAAACGAATTTGATTTTCTCGCCGAAATCATACATACCGCGATCGCTTACCTTCAATATGACTACCGATATCTTCGGGCAATCTGTAAATTTATTTGAGATCACAGCGCGAATGGAGGGTCTAGAATATTACGCGGAGAATCTTTTCGGTCCGGATGGCATCTATAGTAACAAATTTGGACAATTCTCGAATCACCTCCAGAACTTCCTCAGGCAATTCAGATCAGCATCAGAAGACGAAAATTATTGGGACGGCGTGAAACGGCTGCCTAATGTTATCGACAATAATTTTAATCACCCGAAAATTAGTCTTGGCTATAAGGTAATAGGGAAATAAACATAATAAAAATGAAACTATATTCTAATTGTAATAATATTATGTTTTGTTCATTGTGAAAGATATTTGGAAACGAGTTAATGTTCACGATGCTGGACGGTGATAAGCAAGTAAAGACTGCGCTGATGAATTTCAATCCCTGGCAGAGGATGAAAGAGTTTCTAGCTTTACAGGAGATCCTTTATGAAAAGACTGGGATGTTCTTGGACTCTTCTTACGTCTTGCCGATGGGTTCCGGTTTGCCGATCCGTTTAGATTCCACCGGTTCCGCGGCTTGTTATTTTAAGATTTTAAAGATGCTCAACGATGGTCGACTTTCTGATAGAGAGTTTCAACTCACTGCCGATATTGCTTCTAGGTTTGTGTGTGTTTTTCTACTTATTTGTGTCTTTAATATTTATAAAAATTATTCTAGAATAAATTTTATTCTATAATCTATAAAAAATGTGAATAAAAATGTCTAGATATGTGTATCTATTGCACAAGAAGATATGTTTTTTTTCTGCATTAGAATAATATTTCTTTTATGTTTTATTCTTTCTTATAATATTTTCAATCTTTATGATATTTACAATGAACAAGTTTTATCTCTTATCTATTTTATTTAAAATAGGACAGTATTTGCTTTTCAGGAGAATAATTTTTTGTTTAACTTTTGATACTTTCTATAATTAATTTTTAAAATATCGCATTGAAGTATTTTTATTTTATTTTTTTACAGTATAAGTATTGATATGATGAACACAATGACAGTGGATGCTTTTTACAAATCCGCCGGACTCAAGTTGCAAACGAACTTTTACTCTTCCGGAAGTATGCAGCTTCATCTGAACATAAACGATACTCGTTTAGTGCGCGTGAGTCTAGGTTTGCCGAATCGCAAGATTGAGATATTTTCGTTAGTCTCGGACGTTGCTCTGATTAAAACCAATGGTGCCGTGATCGAGGAGAAATCGCTGGGTGTCCTGGTAGCCGGTCAAAATCAAGAGGTCTCGCATCTTGCAGTTATGCCCAAGAATATCATCAGTAACACCACCTGCAGTTGGACCGCCTTGGATAGACTGATAGGCTTAAAAATGTGCACAGACTATCAATTTACAAATGTGACCAAGGATCTCAATGCACCTTACTTCATTCTAAATGGTCTCACACTCTTCAAAGTTTCTTTGATTAAAGCCGATCCAACCGCTAAGAATTATGTGTTGGAATATAGCTGGAATAAGACTCAGGTATAATTATAGCTACATATAATCGTTTAATAATTTTGTAATTGTTTTGTGTTATTTTATATAATTTCTTTATTTTTGATAATAACTGCGATAATCAAATGATGATATTTCAAATTCGATTCTTCAAATTAATAACATATTTTTCAAGGCTTCTTTTAATTTTCTGTTCAGGAATTTAACAAGTTCAAGCTGATGTTCGACACACCTGACTCGCAAGTGAACAGAGAGATAAGCGCTATTGTCACTTTTGACATTATAAATCATGATATTATTGCTCTATTTCATTCGGCTGGTAATTCTCTGATCGCTAAAGGTTAGTCTTTCATAAATGCATATTCTAGTTTTTTCAAATAGTAGTTAAGATATTAATGTCTATATGCTTTCAGGTACATATAAACGTTCTGAAGATGAGACTTCTATAGACATCGGTTTTGATATCAATGGTACAAAGCACTTAGATGCCAGTCTGGGTTACACAAGAAAAAAATTTAATCACGGCTATACTTATCATCCTATAGCTCATTTAGATATTAATAGTGAACGCATCGCAGCTCTTTCAGGTACTTTATCGTGCACATTTCTATAATAATCAAGAAATTGTCAATTTTATACTCAGTTAATTTTCTTTCGAATACTTCTTTTACAAAATCTTTTACAAATTACAAAATCTAAATTTTCTTTAATCTTTGAAGATTTTTAATTAATCATAATATTTTTTATTTGATTTTTCTTTAAATTTTGAAACTTTAATTTTTATTTATTTCATTATTATAATAATACAATATATGTAATTGTAGCAAAATATGTAGAGAGATAAAATATGTAGAGAGATAAAAAGAAATTTGCATCGCCAGGTGTCGTTAGAAATGCGCAGAAGAACAACGTCTCTCAGTTTGATATAGATCTAACTTTTCAAACGAAAAGAGTCTGGAGCAAGCTGGTTGGCTACATCGTCAGGCGGAATATCAGCCTGGCTGGTGACTTTCAAATGGAATATCAATTGCAACATATGCGGAGAAAGGAGACACTCCACGTAGAAGTTTCGTTGTCCAATCGATCATCGAAGACACTTACGCACAAAGCTGCCGAAGTGAAATTGCATTCCACTGCCTATCCGCAATTGAACGCTGTAATAAGCGCCTGGTACCAGCGAGCTCTCGGCCACTTGGAGCTTCACGCTGAAATGAACTCCAACCCGCATCTCAAGGATGACAGGCACAAACTTACGGCGCAACTCATCATTTCCTACTCGAAGATGTACTTCCAGAATCAAGGCACAAAGGTGAGCGCCTTGGTAGCTGTCACCAAACCCATTCAGAACTTGGACATCAAAGTGGGAGTCAATCATTATGTTCTTGGCGCCGAAACGAAAACTAGTCTGCTTATAGGATATGCACCAGGTATGCAAGATGCAAAGTTTGCGATTATATTTACACAAGTGGGCAAGATTCATTTGATATAAAAGAAATTAAAGAGATCTTATATTTACAGGTAAAGAGATTAGTCTAGTCGTCAACATCATAATACCACGCGGTTTGCTATTTTCTATGGAAGGTCATACGAATCTGACAATCCCGAACTTTAACTCGATGCTGATTAACGCGCGTATTAACGAGCGTTCGCGAAACGAGTACGAGCTTGAGTTCTCCGGCACGTGGTTCAGCGGTCACAATATGACCGCTCGCGGTGCTTATTCCGATCGGTCGTTGGCCGTCATCGTTAATCATCATCTGAAAATGATCTTCAAGTCGCCGAGCTTTGTCAGTCCGATTCTACTCAATTGCCAATTGTATCAAAATCATAGCGATATCAGAATCAATCTGTACGGCGAGCAGCAAGACTTCGATAAGTACGCTCTTGTGCTGAATCACACGGCGCTTTCGGCGACCAATCTGATGTCCTATGTGGAAGCAAGGTATCGTGGCAACGTGTACTCGGTGATGACGAACGTCGATGTCACGCGAGAGATTCGGGTGGAACTACATCTGGACAAATGGCGGGACGTGCATCTGACTTTGAGCGGCATCAACGAGGAAAATCTACAGGAATTTGCGGCAGAAGTCAAGTGGGATGCTAACAGAGATCCTGCCTTGAAGCTGGGCACGATGTTGCAATTAAGCAGAATGTACTTGATGGACAAAACTTCCCCTGGAATCAAGCGAAACGCGATGATAATGCTGACCTATCCCGGTCGACTAGTAACTGGCTCTTGCGATCTGATTATACGTAGTCCGCATAGTTATCTGTTGGATATTAATTTGAACTGGGATCTAGAAAACGCTATCAAGGCATCGATTGGTGCGGACTACGCCGTGCAACCGGAAATAATGTCTATCAAATTGGAATCGCAATTACTGACGCCTTTTGAAAACTGGAAGAAAACCGCTTTGAACGCGAAGTAAGTTTGTTATATGAATTATTTTATGCAATATTTAACAACAATTAAATGTTAGTAAAAAAATTTCATTTTCATTTTTGCTCGTAGATATTTACAACTACCAGACAAAATCTCAATCAGTAGCAACGCTCACTGGAAGGACTCTCAGTACATAATAGCAGAATTGTATGCTAGTGCGAGCAAACAAGAGGATTTGAAGGAATGGACGGCGAATTGCGGCCTGATCAGCACCATCCATTCCAATTCATGGATGACCGTAAATATGACCCACAAGATGTTACGCTCGCAGACGGCAGATACGCGTATGTTGATTAAGTACAATCCCGACAAGACGATCGACGCGCGTAGTGTCTGGCATCTAGACAAACAATCGGACGACGTGTTCAATCTGACTGGCAATCTGCATTTGTATTCGCCTCTAACAAGTTATCGAAAGAGCGAGCTTAAGTGCCAGTTGCGTCTTATGACCAACTGGAAATTCTTTGGCGCTGCTAATCTCGATTTGGATAAACGCAAATATACTGGTCAATTAATCGGTAATCTCGTACGATGGAAGGAGTCCAAGGTGGAGTTTAACATCACCACGCCACTGGAAAAGTTTGCCTTTGTACGCGGTAGATTCGGCCTGTCGGAGAGTAACCATCATGTGGTAGCAGAAATCATCACACCAAGCGGTCCTCTAGGCGTTGAAGGACTGTGCCAAATATTTACTGCCGCTTATGACTTCAACGTCAAGTTCATGATAGCGACGCCCATCGACGTGCTGCAAAAAGCGTTGTTGGTGGCCAAACTGAATAGACGTGAAGCCGACTTCAGGATCGGCTATAATAATATCACGGCGGGGTTCCTTGGTACTTGGCATTATCACAAAATCACTGAGTTTGATTATAGTTACATAGTATTCACACCTCTTGAGGGTTTGCAAGAGTGCGGCGTGATTACAAAACTGATTGTAACGTTCTCCAAGAATAAGCTGGAACGAGTAGATACCGAGTTTTCGGTGAGACTGGCGAATAATAAGCTTGGCGTTAAGGTCAAGTTTGGACCGAAACCGCTGCCTATTAAGATTCCGTTAAAACCAGGCCTAACATCCATGGAGGATTCTGAGTTTGTAGAAGAGGAAGAATCGGAGGAAGAGGACGATGGTCTCTATTGGCGAGGGGAATTACGGGTAATTAAATAACCATGATTCAGAAATAGAAACTTAATTTACAAAAATGTAATTAAAATTTGAAATTTAATTCATAAAAAATATTAATTAAAAATTCCAATATTATTCGAGTCAAAGGAAATTAATGTAAATTCGGAAAATAAATATGTTTATTTTTGTAATAAATATGTATGCACAAATATTAATTTAATGCATTGAAACATTTTGTTTATGTGTAGCTCTGGCTTGCTATAATCTCAGATATATTGGCAGAGTTGGATATCGATACGGAAGATTATACTTATAAAATACTAGGCATAATGCAATTGTTATCCAAAAAGATCATTATAGAGGACAGTTTTACTATGGAGGATGTTTTTAATATAAAAAATGATCTACATATTGATTTGCCATTTAACAGTATTAGAGAAATAACATCCTTTTCAGCGTTTCTTGTTGATATGGAAAATCTCTCTTATATTACGGAGATGAATGTAAACATCAGAAAAAATACTACATGGTTTGAGGTAATATTTTTAATTATTATTATTTAATATTCTTATAATTGGATGGATCAATTTGATAAAATGAAAAAAAAAAATTTATGAGATAATATTTTATTATTATGCAGACTGGATTTCATGGCAATTATACGTATCGAATCAATAATAAGCGAAAAACGTATTTGGTAACATTCAATCTAAAAACACCTTTAGAATCTATCAAAGTCTTCCACACTAATGCGATCATAGAGATGCAAGGCAATCTATATAAGGGTACAATCACGATTCGTGGAAACCAATTGATTTTGAATCTATCCGGAAATGTACAAGTGAGTCTCGCACGATTTTTCAAATGTTTGAATGATAATTATTTGCAGAAATTAAGTAAAACATTCTATCGTTTTATAGCTAGAAAAAACTTTGACGGATATAATGGTTTCGGGTGCGATCGATTCACCCATAATAAAAATACCACAAGCCATGATCGCCGCAAAGAAAGATTTTACCGGAAGTAAAAAGCAAATTATGTTCAAGGCGAAGATGGAAGAGCCTGTATCAAAATATGTAATATATCAATTTATTTATAATTTGTAATTTGATTAAAATGGAAACGTGATAATTTTTTCTTATCTTGTAATTGATTTGAGTTTTACAGAGAGTATTATTAATTAAATTGAACCCAATCGTTACTTTTAGATGTCCTTTGAATCGGCCTGGCAAACAGATGAGCACCTCGTGAAAGCTTCCGCGAAGCTGAGAAGCTGGATAAAAGATTTAGAATCATTGGAAACTGATTTCCTTTATAGCAATGCGATTCACGTGAACAATACGGCTAAGTTAAACATGCATGTAACACATCTTGGCAACCAAGAATATCAATTAACTGGAAATTTGAGCAATGGCATGATCGACGCTGATTTGCATACACCACTGTCAGAGAAACCTCATTTCCAATTTCATGGTGACTTAAGACAGATTAACGAATCACTATACGATGTCAGGGGAGAACTGAAGAATGAGCTGCTAGCGAAGTCTTACGATGTCAGTTCTGTTATCTTCATACATAAAAATACTATTGCCTCTCTTGACGTGAAGGCCGAGCCGAAAACTGCAAATACTGATCAAATTATCCTGAGATTCAAGATGAAAGAATACGGTTTCCTACTGGATGTCGACAGTGGATCATTCAATGGTACCATCGACACGAACGTGCTCAATAATTTGAATTGGAATGTGAAAGGTCACATGAATATCCAAAAGATTAACGAGATGGATATCTATTACCTGAACACCTTTATGAACGTGCAGATGGATGGCAACACCACTTTATATATTCACGTCGAGACACCCTGGAACGATAGCAGGATCCTGACAGTGAAAGGCAACATGATGCTGACCGACAAAAAAGGCGATGTTCTACTGGATCATCGATTGAACAACGATCAATGTCATGGAGCTACAAAATGGAAGCTGATCATGGAGGATATGTTTGTGGGATTGACTACGGGATATGACACTACAGATCTGGGCAAAAAGGAACTGGAAACTCATGTATTCTTCAAGAATCCCGGCGAGTTATACAGAAACATGGACATGGGTTTCAATTTGAACATCGATCGAAAGGCATGGCAATTCGAGACGAACGCGACCATCGGTTTTCGTAATCAGGACAACATTGATGCGGTGTTTGTCGTAAAGTTACCGCCTCCGAACAACGACGATCATCGATTTCTAATCAGCTATCATAACAAGGAGAAGCAGAATATCTCTTATGTGGTGGGTTACAATGCTGTCCGAGCAAAGAGCAATTACGCTTCAGACGGATCGGTTTGTATCTCTTTGATATTTTAATATTTAATAAGCAATGAACTTAATCCGCATGGCAGTATAAATGAACAGGTAATTGACATGAAAATTTTAGATTCAAATGATTAGACGCGATATTAACGGGCATTTGCGACTGACTTGGGGATTGCTGTCTATACACTCTCTCAACAATCTCTTCAACATCACCTTTGACAACAGCGAAATCAAATTCAAATATTCTTTGTTCACACCGTTATTCATGGAAGAAGAAACGGTCGTTCTTCTCTTCAATTATGACACCGAGATCAATGAACGAAATTTGATCAATATGCAAGCCGATCTCTTTTATCCTTCAAGACGACAGATCGGAACTGGAAAGATAACTTACGAAAGTCTGATTAACGTTAATGGAACTTTTAACGCTTCGATATCGATACAACAATTGTCATTTGTTGGATGCAATTTTGTTGTGCTTACCACTTTGTAAGTAAATTTACTATGAGACAAAAGAAAAGAATTAATTTTAGTGTATAATGTTCTAAAAATCAAAATTTGTCCATTAATATTAATTAATATTATCAAGAATTATTTGGTAGACAAAAATAATTTTAAGACTAAAAACAAGACTGAAAATCAAAGTTTTAAGATATAAAAGAAATATTCGCGAATCTTAAGAATATTCTTTTCATCTTTTTAATTAAAAAAATTTTTTTTATATATACAGGAAACAAAATAAAAGATTTGTCGAGTTCTTCTGGCCTAACAATACGGCTTTATTGAATTCGGATTACAATTATCACAGCGAACGACTGGATTCGAATTTGGGTGGTATCTTGCATGTAGAAGTCCCTCTGAGTACTCGTCACGTCGGTCATCTAAGCTACGGTTACAAAAAACGTCCGCAAGTCACCACTGGTCATTCCACCTTGATTTATAACGAACGAAAAGTGCTGGACGCTCAGTACAATTCAAAAAGTGAATCCCGAGCCGGTTTCGAGAAAGATCGCATTCAGATTACGGTAGAGAACATCTACAAACCCATAGGCATTATTTACGTGAACCAATTTGAGTACAGCGGTGGAAACGAGGGTACCAACTACCCCACTGTTGAGTTCAAGCAGGTGAACGTCTACCGACTGGACAACAGCTCGGCATTTAACATTGCCGGCGAGTCCAGAATCCGGACCACTCACACTGGCCAGAACATCCACCTGAAAGCGATGCATTTGAACAAGACGATCCAACTGAAGACAGACTATCAGGTTCTATCCGGTGAATTTGATCAGAATACCTGGTTAAGTTTGACTGAGGATGTTTGGGTGTCTTATCATGTAAATATCCTGAACAAGACTACGGATGACATGGATAATCAGTTCCTCATTCTCAGCCTGTCATATCCACGACGGAACTTTACTCTGGGCGGTTCCTACAAGATCACTAGCGACGAAGTAAATTCCGAGGCAAATTTACAATGGAAACGTGACGACGAGAAGTCAAGAAGCATCGGTGCGTCCTTTGACTGGACGAACATCACTGATACGTCGATGGAGAGTGAACAGCAGGCTGTGCTGAGTTTCCATCATCCAACTTTTGAAAAGAACGTCACGCTGAAAGGTATTTTAATGAAGAAAGACCGCAGAGATCTGCTGAATGTCGCCTTCGCCGCGGATTATTCCAAGAATGAGGACAAACTGTTGACGTTGTCCGCATTGTTGAGGGACGAAAGCGACGAATCGAACAGGAAGTTCTTTTACAAGATAGCCGGCAAGCATATCAGTACCAAATTAGATCTCGATGTCGAAGGATTCGCTCATAGACGAGGACTCGTGCTGCTCGAAACGGTGAATCACGCTCGATATACACGCGGTTACATAACCAGTGAAACTGGGGAACTAATCGGTCGGATTGATCGAACATTGAGGGAAATAATCTATCGACGAGTGAACAATGACGCTGTCAAGCATTTCGCGATCGGCTATTATCCTACGTCTTCTCAATATATAATAAACGGTAGCGCTATCAATACGCCGGAACTTAATGCCACTGGCGTTTTCTTCTTGGATCCGGATGAGAAACTCATTTGGATGACGGTGAATTATACTCCCGGTAGGTATCATAAATAAAAAAATTTTTAAGAGAATTAGTAATATATTGTTGAATTTTTAATTTAAAATTGTGAAAATAAACTCGGTGAAATTTCTCTTATTTCTATTTTTCATATGGCAAATTACTTTATAAATAAAATTGAAAAAAATTTTTTTTCTTTAGTCATTTTATTTGACTTTTTTTAACTTCTCTTTACTTGACTCTTTTGTTTTTTATAATTTTTTTCATTTTTAATATTTTCTGTTTTGTAGATGCGATAGTAAGCTTAAGAATGTATGGCAACATACCGGACGCTCGAAATGCTATGTTCAACATTTGGAGAACTTACGAAGATGATTTGACGATTTCGGACGTTTCTTTCTATTTGAAATTAAATCATTCGAGACTCATTACTTCAATTTTGCGATGGCGGCCTGAACTTAAAAGCGATATTATTGTATGATATATCTATTGAAAAACATTTACGTAATGTAATTTCGATATAATTAATAATAATTATCTCACGATATTGTGCTTATAGACCACTGTGAAAATGACTTTCAACGAAATGTGCGAAAGCATAGACAACGACATCGATTATTGGAAGCATTATATAAAAAGCGAAGTAGGAATTGTTATCTCGGATGTATGGGAAAATGCTCAGGAAGATGTCGCAGGATTCCTCGAAGATTGGAAGTAAGTAATAAAAATCTATTTTGAATATCAATAATATTAATAATATCAGACAAAAATGCTACTAAAATATTAAATATAAAACAAATGATATCAATATATTTATATAATTTTATTTATTATTAAATATAGTAAAGACAATAAAACATTAAATAATTACTGATATTATTTAATATTATATATGATATAAATGAGAATATATAATATACAGTATATATTTCCTTTCTTTTCTTTTCAGTGATTTGAAAATTCTTGAACGTGATTTTGAAGATCTCAAACTATATTTGAATAGTTCCTATAACACGAATGACTTTTACATAAAAGATATTTGTGGTATCTTTATATATGTCATCGATAAATTATCTCTACGAAGCCACATTGAATCTCTTCCTAATATTCTGAATGAGATCTGGGAAAAAATGGGCGAGTCGGGCGAGGCTTTGCGAAATTCATTACTCTGGCTGATCGAAACCATGAAGAATGCCTATAACAAGGTATCCGAGATTACGGCCGCTGTGCTAAGAGGCGACTCGTTGTCACAGATGGCGAATATAATCGAGAAGCTAATCGAGAAATACGATATATTCATCAAAGATCTACACGTGTCTTTCATCAAATACATGGAGAATCTCTGGGACACAATTTTCTCGTCCATCTCGGAACAGTGGTATCAGTTCTTGAAACTAATGGAACCTTTGTTCATTCGCTTCGTTCATTATGTTGAGACGCTTGTCTGGAAGGCAAGCAAGGAGATGCTGGATTTCTTGTACGATCGTAAAAAGGAAATCATTACGTCGCCGTATTTCGACCGCTTCACAAACTTCACTCACGACATCGACAAGGTCTATCGCGATATCAAGGCGAACGATATAGTGACTAACGTGTACAAGTATTCGGGTGTGGTAATACAATTCGTGAAGGAGCGTTATTTCGCTTTTGTGCCGTTTGGCAAGGAGCTAAAGGACGTCGTGGAGGAGATCGTGTTGGAATTGAAGGAGCTTCGGAAGTTACCGTCAGTCAACTATACCATGGAGAAGCTTGAGCAACTCTATGACAGAATTAGCTACTTCTGCGAATATTTCGAGGTCAAGTACAAGATAGAGAGTTTCATCCGGTTGGTGCACAACAAGATGATGGATATTAGTCAGACGGCGCTGCAAGCTGAGAGTCGTTACAGAGAGGCCAAAACCATGTTCATCTTTGATCCTAATGAGGGTCTGATGTGTCTAGAGCAGAAGTTACCCATGTCTTGGCATGCCTTTAATCAGACGCCAGAGTTCCATGAGATACCGGAAATCAAAGCCATATTGGACGTCAAAACGTACTTCGTCACCTCGAACACTACCTTCTGGAGTCTTTACTATCAGTACAAACCGTATTCGGAGCTACCAAACTGGTTACCGCCGTTCAAAGGTCTGTCTCGAAAGTAACAATATTTGATTTTAATTTAATATTTTAATTGAATTTTTATCAAGTAAATTTAAAGTTGACTTCTCTTTTCTCAACAAGCAATTTGTATTATTTTAGCGCAAGCCATGATTATCGGCTCCCAATACTACGTTACCTTTGATGGACGTTATTTTGATTTTGCGGGAAATTATACTTATTTGTTAGCGAAGGATTTCGTACGCGACACTTTTGCAATTCTCGTGAAATATGATCGACAATCCGAAGAAATTACGCATAAGATTATAGTACTGATTGGAAGTAATGCCATCGAGTTGGATCTCTTCAATGATGTTAGTAGAATTATATTTATGGCTACATTATATTATTTTTAAAAAGATATGTTTTAAAAGAAATTATTTTTAAAAGATATGTTTTATTTTTTAAAGAAAAAACAAGAAAGTAAACGTATAATAAGATTTTAAAAAATAATTTGATTTTATTTTTGAAATAGTTTGCATAATACATAAAAAATAAAAATAAGAAAAATAAGGTAAGAAATCCATAAAATCTACATCGCTGGATTTTAATCGCCAATTTTCATAACGTCACAAAATAATTAATGCTAATTATATTAAATATGTTATTTATTTAGACGATGAAGCTTATCTCCCAGAAATCAGCAGATATCACGAGCAATCTGCAATTGCCAATTGAATTAGACAACGACACATACGTCTATCAAGTGGAGAACGTGGTGACGGTAGAACGCAAGCACAATCAATTCCGATTGCAATGTAATCTCAAATTCAACCTGTGCACCTTGGAATTATCAGGCTGGTATTATGGGAAGACAGCCGGTCTCCTCGGCACAATGAACAACGAGCAGTTTGATGATATTCTTGGTTCAAACAAGTTATATCTAAAGGACACTGGCAGCTTTGCCCATAGTTGGTGCATCGAGGATTGCACCGACATGGAGAATCACGCCAGCAGAATTCAGCAGGAAGACATGACGTTACTTACGTTCTGCGAGGAGCTATTCGTGAATAAGAGCTCGGAGTTCGGTGCCTGTTTTGGCGTGGTCAGTCCAACCGAATATGCGGATATGTGTCTGAATAGTCTTACCGAGGCCGAAGTGTGCACGGTGGCGATGTCGTACATGCAGATGTGCATGTTTGGTGACACTCATCTGCGGATACCTGACCGGTGCACCACGTGTACCATGATGGATGACAGTCAAGTGGCCGAGGGTCGTTTCAAACGGCTGGAGGGCGACAAAGTGCCGCGATCGGCCGACATAGTGTTCATCGTCGAGGCGAAAAATTGCAATTACGACATGAAGCTGAACAGTAGCATGGAATTGCTGATCACGCAGCTCAGTAAGGAATTGAACGATCAAGGTCTCACGGGCAATCGATGGTCCTTGGTGGTATTCGGTGGCGACGGAGTGCATGACAAACCCAGGAGTATTATCCTTGATGGGCAGATCTTCACAAAGAACGTGGCACATTTTGTCGATTATTTCGATTACGTGCCGAACGGCGACGGTAGTCAGGATATCTTCGCCGCGATTGGTTTCGCCTCGCAGCTTGTCTTCAGGGCCGGCGTGTCAAAGACCTTCATATTGATGCCGTGCTCGCATTGCGAATCGGAGAATCAAACGGTAATCTCAATTTCTAAATTTTATGAGGTTTAAATCATTTTTGAATTCTTGCATAAAACTTGTCTTCTAATTTTTTTTATCTCAGCTGGAATACTCCGTGTTACATCAAATATTGTTGGAGCGTGACATTACTCTGCACATATTAATGGATGGCGACTTCGAATTTGAGAAGGAAAAGATCAGCAAAATTTTCTATGGCTTAGACGCGGCCAAGTCGTATACGAAAAAAGATTCTCGAATGCTTATCGGCGACGTAGACCTGAGAAGGCAGGTCAAACTTTCCAAGACTATTTTAGGCTACTGCATACCGCTATCCCTGGAGACTAACGGTACGATATTCAGCGGTGAAAAGCTACGTCTCGAGAAGGCGGCCTCGATCAAAAAGTTCGCGAGCGTCTTCGCAAAGAGGATTACTCTCACAGCCGAACCGAACAAATGTCAGTTTTGCGAATGCACCGCTAATAATAACGGCGTCACGAAGATGGAATGTACGCCGTGTGTATACCCGACAGCTGTACACGTGGATTACGTGAGTGTACGTATCATATAAAATCTATCAGAAAGATAAAAAAGATAAAAAATCTATAAAACATCTTTGAGATATTATGCAGATACTTGAACATATCTAATTGAGTAACTGGTTACGTTGCAGGAAACCTTTAATCTCAACGAGTCTCTCTCGATGATGCCACCGTTGGACGATATAGATTACGGCCAAATAGATATAGAAGACGACTGAAACATAATTAAGGAAATATCACAACTAAATAATGTTAGATAATTCGCTGATATTTATTTTTAGTCATATCTTATTGATAATAATACCTACCTCTCTTTCCAATCTAAGATTTGTCGTGCAAGAAATTGGAGCATTTAGCTCACATTAAGAATATCCGATAAAAGCGTATAGAAAATATGAATTTGCATAGATTTATGTGGATTATTTTCAAATGACGATTGGAAGTCTGGTGCCAAATAGAATTCTACAACTCATATTTTACGATTATTTCTATTATGATTCATTTCCGCAATTCTTTCATAAATCACAATTACAAAATATATTCGTGATATGTATACGGCGAATATTTTAATATCTAAAATATATCAAAATAAATTGTATAATTACATTATAAAGTAAAATAGAATATCATTCGAGTATTAAACATTAAGGCGTAATTGTTAATTTAAAACTAAATTCATGATCATTGATGGGATATGAACAGGAATATATGTAAGGCTGGTAAAAATGGCATAATTACCATGCAAAAGCACAACACAGGTTTGATATATAAAAACTTTCCTGTCTCTATATATATATATATATATTATTTGTATATAATGTGACTTATTATATATATATAATAAAAATTTATAGCAAACCGGGAAATGGCAATTGATTCGCGTTACATTCTTCGCGTCTTGAATCGCATTTACATTTTATTTTGGAGCGCAATTATGGCGAGTATATCTAAATATCTCCTTCTGCAAAGTCCTTCAATGTAACAAAAGGATAAACTCTATAACGTGTAAAATAATCGAGGAAACTTAATAGTCGACGCGGGAACGAAATGTAGGAGACTGCGTGTTTTGAAAACTTTCAGTATGGCCATGATAAGACTGAACGTCACATTGTACATAGTGACAGTGAGACGGAAGAGGAGATCCGGCGATAAGATGATAATCGCTTGGCATCTCGGTTTGGCCACTATTAATAACATTAACCCAATCCGTCAAAAAGTGGTCACCTGGTCGTCGTGTCGTGAGCTTGCAGGTGATTCGGTGCGTCGGCAAACGTGAATTTTAATTTGTACGCCTCAGCCACCAACACGCCTATTTCCGAATCTGTCCAATTTTGCGTGGGCAGGTTTTGTAGCATTAACATCAGCCCCTGTAATAATTAAAGAATGATAATTATTTAAGCTTGATCTATAAGGTTATAACACAGAACTGCTAGATAAATTACTTGAAAATCAGGTTGCAAGAGTAAGTGTCGCCTCCAACGGAGAAGGAAGGCCGCGCATACATAAAGTTGAAACGAAGCAAATCTGTCGGATTCTGCCAAATATGTGTCCCACAATCGGATGGTGCAATGAAGCGGGATTTCCCTTGTTAACAGGTTGTTCATCCATCGAAAAGAAAATTGTAGATAATCCACTCCATGCTGATGCAAATGTTGATGCAATGGCGCTGGAAACGATATGATAAGGATTAAAGAAAAAAAGAAAAAAAAACAAACATTTTGAATAAGCTAGTAATTAAATATTTACCATCAATTCTCTGTATCAACTCCTTCAATTGGTTCACTTTATGTTGGATTCCCAATTGAGCAAATATATAGTTATCTTGTATACCGTCTAAGAATTTTGATAGGCACCAAAAGCTATCCGCCTCAATAATGTCGCGCTGCTCTTTTGATAATGACGCGACGTCATAATTTTCCAAATCTTGCCAGGCCTGGATCGGCACCGCCTCTTGTAGAAAGACCAAGAAAAAAGGTGTCACAAGATCATTCATACCCTGCAATATCAAAAATATATGAATATTAATTCATCACTGATAAATAAAACACAGTTCTGTGCTAAATACCTGAACATAACCAGACGCCGGATGCCTGATCGCCCAAATATATAATATTCTTTCAAATATCAATTGCACTGTTGTCTGCTGGAATAGCGAGATAAGCGGCGACATTCTAGGAATATCGATATGAATTTGGCGATACGTGTCCTGAAAGCCCTCGTCCCGTTCGACGTCGTAATATTGCTTCACCAAGTTCCAATAGTCCAGTCGTTTGCGTTCCAATGCAAGTTGTCTACGTTCCAGATTGGCCGGCAAATATTCCTACAATGTCATGAATGCAAACACTTAATGTTTCATGGCGTCGTTCTATCGATAATACGGTGCGTTTACCTTCATTACTTACAGACAACAACCGCCAAGTGACGGAACGCAATTTGGCAGGTACACCCGACCATGATAGCTGCCGCAATTCATCTAAATTTAGTACGGATGCTTCCAAAAGTAATTGAAATTTATCCACTTTACTTTCGCCATCTAAACAGATTTATATAAACATTTCTTAAGTGGTATGTCTTAAAGATTATTGTTATAATATCACACGTAACACATACCCTGCTCCTTCGAGGGTATAAAAAATTTATTCGGAGCATTAGCTTGCCTCAAAGGCTGTGGTCTACCGGGAAACTGTGTCGGCTTGTGCTGAGGAGACACACTGTGTTTCAAATCCGTATCTTCATTGGGATGCTGGCTATTAATCACTTGTGAGTGCAAATTCACGTTACGCAAATGTAATGGCTGCACTGCCAGCCTTTGAAGGGCCTCCACTTTTTTCCCTTCTGGTATAATTTCTTGTTGAGTCACCTTAGCATTTGTTTGAGATAGCTGTAAACACTTATTGCCAAATCTATGACTGTTGATGACGCTGAGAGCTGCTGAGTGGCTAACCCTCTTTGATATTTTCACATCCGAGACTGTACAGAATTCATCATCTCCCGAATCCCATGCGTCGTCCACACTTTCCTGAAAGTCCTGAAAGGAAGTGGAACCTCCACTTCCACCTGTGCTGCTACTGCTGTTAGCAGTGCTAGTCAGATTGCCAGATCCAATCGTCGTGGAATTGAACTTGCCATGCCTAACATCTTGTTTCAGGCTTGGCCTTTGAAAAAATTTTCAAGTCAACAAGAAAGCTTGCAACAAAGCAAAGAGGAATACATACCTTCCTGGTACAGCCCGTGTGTTTTTCTTCCAGAAAGATTGATGAGTTGAGACAGCCTGGTGGTGATAACCTTGATTTTCCATAGCTGAAACCAAGTTAGCTCGCACCTGGTAGTCTTTCAACGCAATTGGCGTAGCACAGATCGTTCCTCATACCCTTGTTACAAATACCAGAGATCTACAAAATCAAGAGTCCTCTCATAACATAATCATCGTCGAGATTTATGTAACAAAAAGATGCTTACTCAGAAGACCACTACAATCATACATGTATGATGCACATACTCAATTTATATATGTATAAATTTGAGATTACAATAGCTTCTACATAGCTTCTAGTCTCTAATACGGTCGAACTCACGGGCTCGTTTCCCGAAGAGCAAATTTAAGAGCATCAATTATGTCACAGCCTTGCTGGATCATACGTACATGACACCGAGCGTAACGCCAAGCGGAGCTGTCAACGCCTAAACAGCACCAACGGTAGTGATCGAGAGAAATGGAACGGAAGAAGAGGATGGATTCTCTAGAACAACAAACGCCTCGTCGTAACATATGATTTGCCAGTATACCGACGACGCCGCCGCCGAGTCCGACGCGTCACGGCACACGTTCCCGTAATTGAGTTAGGCGGACGCACTCGGCGGCGCCGACGGAAATACACGTCTACGCGTTACGCAGCGGAAATCTCGGGAGTCGTCGCTGATCGCCGTTCGCGGACCGATTATTAGGTTATGTTGCGTAAGCCGCGCGCGTCAGAATCGCGAGGTTGGTCTGGCGAACCGTGGCGGTTGAAAAAAAAAGGGGAGAAAAAAAAGCGAGGAGCCACGACGGCGACGGGAGAGCGTGCCTACATTTTCCGTCTGTTGACGATCGACGTAGTGACGATCCTGCGGGGAGGATTGACGAGATCGAGAATATGGAATTTAATTTTACATCTAGCCATTGATATTCGCTGCGACAATGACAATGACGACGATGACGCCGCAACGACGACGGCGACATCGTCGTTGTTCCTGTCGTCACGATAGATCGCGATCTTGCCGGACGTGATCACCGCGCGTTTCTTTCTATCTCTATCTCTGTCTCTCTTTCTCTCTCTCTCTCTCTCTCTCTCGACGACTCCGAGGTCGCCT